AATATGTTTAAATATGTGAATGAGTATTAATGTAGATAACAGAACAGCAATGGGCTTCCTACAGGCATACCTGCTCTTAATTGATTCTTTGATTTATATACTCCAACAAGGATGCTCTAACAGATTAGAGTTGAGATCTCTCTATACAGAGTGGCCTTGACAAGGTGATGCAGCTTCCAAATGTATTTGCAAATGCTGTGTAATGATAGCCTCTATTTTTAATGCAAAATGTAATGTAATCGTGTGCTGGGAAAAAATGCTTTGTTTGTTCTTATGAAGCAAGGAGCAACAAATAGGTATCCTTCTTTTGCTGACTAACTAACAGAGGGTGCAATACATTTTTGAGTGGGATTCCCTGTGCACTATAATGTTCTCACCCTAAAAATTAACTACTACTACCCCCATTATTAGGGTTTTGCCTAAAGCTATGTCAAGGCAAAAAAAAAAGTAAGTAGTACAAGGACCAAATCTGGTAGCAGGTACTTTGGCAAGGGGTAGAGATATGCAGGTTCAGGAGGTAGGTGCAGAATTTGACTCAGCCCTTAAGCCCTGTTGTGGGCTGATAACACACAATATTTTCATAGAATGAATGTCGTTAGCCCTAATGAGTTGTCTTTTGCTAAACTACTAACTCAATCCAACTCAGATTTTTACAACATAAAAAATTATCATTCTGTAGTCCAAGATGACAACTAGGAGGGTTTAAAAGACTTTTCAAGATACCACAGGAAGTATGCAGAGGACAAAAAACAGTTCTGAATTTCTAAAAGATCAAAAAAAGTTTTTTCTTTCCACTTCTTAGCCACTTGAACTCTGGAAGGTTTTACCCCCCTTCATGACCAAAGCATTTTTTTGCTATTCAGCACTGTGCTACTTTGACTAGCAATTGCACTGTCATGAAACATTGTACACAAATGCATTTTATCATTTTTTTCACACATATAGAGCTTTCTTTTTGTGCTATTTGATCACCACTGTTTATTTTTTTTTTTTTTGCAACATATATTGAAAAAAGACAAACAATTTTGAGGAAAACACATTATTTTCTACTTTCTGTTATAAAACATATCCAATAATAAAAAACTTGGTTTGCGGGAAAGTTATAGCATTTACAAAACTATGGTATTTATTCTGGAGCATCAGCAATGACACTATACTATTAATGGTGGTGATCAGTGACTTATAGTGGGACTATGATAGTATGGCGAACAATTTGGAGCTACAGTACCTGATGTTAGCTGGAAGGTACACTAACAGACTAACTGGCATTGACATCAATAGTGACACTAATACAGTGATCAGTGCCAATACTGCACACTGTCACTGTACTAATGATACTGCATAGCATATAGCATAGCTATTAGTAGGTCACTCACTGATACAAGAGACAATCAGTGGAAATATCCATATGCGAGTATTATCCGTATGCAAACCATTCCATGGATACGTTCCAAAAGATAATCTAGATATAACAATGAAAATCAATATGGAAATATCCATGTTTTAAAAAATCATAACAGTATTCAAAAACGCATTTCCAAACCGTTACCTAGTAATCCCCTCCACAGGAAAGGTAAAGGAACATGCAATGCCAGAAAAATTATTGTATAGTGTAAGTACGTTCCTTCCAATATTCAGTGTCTCATATGTGTCAGTGCATAAAATCTTCTAAATGTGACTCCTGCAATCATAAAACACAGCAGCATTGAGGAATTACTAAGCATGGCTATGTATCTATCGAACAAAATCAAACACCAAATCTCATACCTTTCAAGCCACTATGTTTCATCAAACCGCCCACTGTATGTGTCTCCTCAATGACGCCAACAACGGCATGCGGCGGTGCGCTTAAATTATGTCATCCAATCAGGGACTGCAATTCTGCCCAGGTAATCCATATGGAGGAAGCAAACCACCCCTGCCCAGCGGTAATCGTGCATCATGCATGCGCACAAACGTCACTTCCGTCCAAACAAACCAGTGGCAGAAGTGCAACCATCCACAACACCTAGCGCATGTGCTCCTCCTCAATAGGTCAAGCAGCCCCACCAAACCAATGCCTGCAAAAAATAACAGCAGACAGCACATAACTAGAGATAAACAATGACTGATTGGAGCCAAAACCCAGCAACCACCACCTCAGTTCCACCACCTTGGGAGATCCTGGACTCAAACCGTCCAGTCTCCCACAAGTCATCCATAGCTAGAGGCTCCCATTGTGCATATAAACTATCAATACTGTAAACCAAAAAATAATTGATGAACCAATGCTCGATAATTGTATTCCTCATATGCTCAAAAGTGTTCTATCCCCAATGGAGATGGTGACATAGGCAGAGGGCATGAGCCCCCCACCCAATCCAAACCATAAATGAGTGCCACAGCACACCCAGCACATCATATGACATATGTCACACTAATGCGGAGAATCATTACCTACAGACATAGAAGAAATAAAAACAAATGAATATAAATACAGCCCCATATAAAGACTACTTATATATTGGACATATTACATTGGCTCAGATAACATGACTCCATCAGTCCCATATCATAATAGCCTTGAAAAATCAATATTTGTTCCCCAAAATAGTATACCATACAATGGGATGGTCCTACTCTACTACTTATTACAAGTAAGAGGTATAACTTAATGCCTCATTAAAGCCTGGAGGGGAAGTCTCATTCAAAGTGTAAATCCATCTTGACTCTTTTTGCAGTACTTTCTAATCAAAATTTCCTTCTCAAGGGTCCTCAAAAACCCTTTCCAAGGCTGCAAAGCATATCATATCTGTATCATGACCATGCTTCAAAGCCACATGTCTACCAATGGGTGTGCACAGAAGATTTCTTGTAATATAATAAATGTGATCATATATCCTTTTCCAGAAATTTCTAATGGTCTTACCCACATAAAAGGCACCACATTTACATAACATAATATACACCACACCTTTGGTTTGACAATCTACAAATTGCCTAGTCTTGTTTATCACCCCATTTGGTCAGGGTATGGAAGTCCTTTCTAGGATCCAAGCACAATAATCACATGATCCACATTAAAAAGTACCCTGTCTATCTTCAATATCAGATGTCATATCATGAAAATGACTCCTGACCAGACAATCCTTGAAATGTGATTTGGGGATAGTCCTTGATATATTTGTTTAGGATAGGGTCATCGGTCAATAAATGTCAATGCTTTTGTATGGTATCCCTAACCTTCTGGTGTTGATTAGAAAAAGTAGTAACAATCCTATCCATATCCTGTTGGTTACTATCCCATTTACCGAATAGCAGAGTATGTATACAGGATAGTAACCAACAAGATATAGTTAGGATTGTTACTACTTTTTCTAATCAACACCAGAAGATTAGGGCCATTTTAGTTTTAGTCGTATTTTAGTCATCTGAATTGTTTTAGTTGTATTTTAGTCTACTAAAAAATCTCCTGTACATTTTAGTCAACTAATATTTCCAGTATATTTTAGTCAACTAAAATCTAATGGGTTTAGTTAAATTGTAATGTATTATTTAAGTATTTTTCTAGAATTTTCAAACTTATTATATACTCCTGGAGAAAAAATCTAATAGCATGTTATTATTTATGGTATTAGGGTTCGAACACGCACTACAGACACAGATTTAGCCGTTGCGATATATAATGTCTTTATAAATAAAACCAAGTTTCATAAACAAAAATGTTGCTTTTTGACAAAAAGAAGTGCAACTTTAAAACATATTTTAAAAAACCTGTTAACTCTATTGGCTGCAATACTATTGTACACATATTTCCTGAATATATTACCGACATTAAATATTAAGAAAAAAATTAAGAAAAGCCTTTTTCTTAATTTTTTTTTCTTTCAGCAACTTAGTAGATGCCCTTTAAGTATTCTTATGTGGTAGTGAAGTGTTAATTTTGATGTCAAATTTCAATTTAGTTTTAGTCATAGTCTTTTGACTAAAATACCATTTTAGTTTTATTTATAATTTTAGTCATCTGAATTTTTAGCTTTGGTCATATGTTAGTTGACTAAAATAGTTTTAATTTAGTCGAAGAAAATATTTTAGTCAACGAAATTATACAGGAGACACAATCATTAAAATATGAAATCACAAGCATGTAAAATTTCATCATGATTTAAAAAATTAATCATACAATATTTATTTAAAATACCGACTGGGAATACATTATTTTTTTTAGTGAAATAAATTGTTGAGTCTTTAATATTTATGCTTAAGTTTTACTTTTCAGAACTGAACTGTTGCCCCAGAGTAGCACTAAAGTAATATTTTATGAGGTTCATTTGAAAGTTTAATAGTTATAATGTAAACTCAATAATTGAACATTACCTAATCAAGCATGCAAACTGCAGCACAGTTCCTGCTGTAAACGGATGCATCTACTGTAACTGTATTCCTGTTCTCTGTTTCAGTTCAGCATACAGCAATTCATAATTTATTTTATATTTTTACCCTAATCTTGTTAACACAGTAGGATCATTTTATCCTATGGAGATAATTACACTTATCAATAAAGAAACTGTTAGTAAATTACAGTTTTTGTAAGATTTTTTCATTATTTTTAGTGTACACTTTATAATGGTAACACTTAACAGCATTGTTTAGGTAAATACATATTACAGAATATATCATTACTTTGATGTAGGCTTAAACACAAAAAATACTTTGACACAATCACACCCATTTGCTACAAACCATGCTAATTAGTGCAGCTGGCATCAAAATGTTCCCTCATATTTATTAAAAGAATGTGCTCTCAACATCTCTGGAGCATGTGCCCAGGTATATCCACACTGCAAAGCAAGACTGAGTGGATGAAAAATCCCTAAAAGTAGTGCAGCGCTACAAAATATATCATATAAATCAAAAAACATGCAATCAACCTTACAACAATTAATAATTGACAAAAATATATATAAATATAGAGCATGAAGTGCTCAAACAAGTGTAATCTGTGGTCACACATGTGACCTCTAGTAGCCTCCCTGGCGGTATTCCTGAGTGTAGCTCGGGGTAAAGTTTCAGTACCACAAGTGGTAACCCCGAGCTACACTCAGGATTACCATGCTGCGCTGCTCTGCTATCCCTCGATCACTTACCTTGTCCTGCGATGTCCCTCCTGCAGTTTCCCCTGTAATGTCCTCCGGCCGATGCCGGCATCCGTCTTCTGGGTTCCGTTCCCTGCGACGTCAGGATGTACAGGAATGGAACGGCGGGAAATTTAAAAATGATAAAAAGTGACATTCACTAAATTAACTAAAATCACATAGTAAAACATTACTGTACCAAACCATTTCACATACATTTTGTCCCGAGTGCTTTGTCCTGTGCCCTGCCTACATTTTTACAGTTCTTTCTGCCTGTAAACTGAGAAACGTCCATGGCGTCCAAAAAGCGTCCCTTTAGGTCAAAATTGGTTTTAGACCAGCTAGAGAACAGCAATAGTAAATTAGAATCACTTGCAGAATTGGGTGATAATGATTCGTGGGGAAATTCATCATCGAATACTGAAAATGATTTTGCGACTTTGCTCAGTGATGTGCGAACTTGGCGCTATATTTCAAATTTCAGTGTTTTTGGTTTGATTATATTATTGAATTCAATTTATTATTATATTATTATTTTTTATGATTATTTATTAAATTATAATTTATGATTTTGTGTTTCAAATTTTAACATACCTGGGATATTTACTAGACTCTTGTTTGGACAGATTTCAGTAAGTTATTCCTAAAAATTACAGGCCTGCAATAAAAAAAAAAACATATTTCCATGCAAAAAAATGTACCGCTTTGAGCACAGAAATATGGACATAATCAGACCGCTAGGGAGGTTAAGTGTAATAAATCACACTAACCAAATGTGAAATACCTCTCGTATACAAATAAACATGAGAACTGATCATAGTAACAACCCCTACTCATATGATGCAAAACCCCTATAATTAGGGGAAATAACAGTGAAAGTGATTGGTGTTAAAGTGACCAAACAAAAAACATAAAATCTCTAACAGTCCATAGATATTCAAAGTGGTGTTTCAAATGACAATCTATCATGCAGAGTGACAATAGTGATGATATCCGTGAAAGTGTCAGCACACTTATCCATAGTGGCTAAATTGCCCCCTCACCTCCTTTAGGCGACCCAATGGGCCACTTTGCTTTCAGGATCACTCCTGGATCCTACTCCAATACTGGTTGGTAGTATTTCACCTGTAGTTCCTCTCTCAGGTAGCAAATAAGATACTCCAGACCTCTCAGGATAGGTATATCTGCTAAATATACTCCTCACCAAAGGCTGTGCAGTGTGCGCTCCGCCAATCTCTCCGGGGAATCACCGATGGATGAATGCACTTTTGTTTGTTGTTTTGCACTGCACCCTAGCAGGGGCGGACTGACCATTTGGAAACTCGGGTCAGTAGGGGGCCCCATGAGATGCCCCTGGTACCTTTTTCATAGGCTTTTTTGAGTTTGGGCAAGGACACAGGGACCCCATGATCCCCTATTGCCCGGGGGCCCTATGAGTTGTCAGTCCGCCCCTGGACAGGTGCAATGCTTTGGCCGATCACAGCACATGATAACGTCACAAGGGGGCAGATGTGACTCCGCCCCCTTGAGACATCATCACAGTATTTAAGAACTGTCATCCCGGAGCAGCTGTCAGATGGCAGGAGCTAACCTTGAGAACGGACCTTTTTTTTTTCAGGTCGGCGGTGCCAGCGGGCATCCTGATTGACGTTGGATCTACTTTGGGGGACTTTTTTTTATTTTTGTTTTTAATAAAGGACTAGTCAAAGACTGTCTACTTTCATTTTTTACACTACACTTTTTTTGTGTCTGAATGAGTAGCGGTACCATGTACCCCATACTCATTCACATGGGGAGGGCAGGATCTGAAGGTCCCCTTGTTAAAGGGGGCTCCCAGATTATGATAAGCCCCCCACCCACAGACCCCTACAACCACCGCCCATGGTTTTGGTAAGAGGACCTTGTCCCCATCAACATGGGGCAGGGGGCAGGGAGCTTGTGGTCTGCTAAGGTTCTGGATGGGGGCACTTGCTCACTTCCTGACCTGCCGGGCTGCATGCTTAGATTAGGTTCTGGCATAAATTTTGGGGGGACCCCCATGCCATGTAAAAAAATATTTTGGCTTGGGGGGGGGGGGGGGTTACCCTCAAAAATCCCTACCAGACTTGAAGGACGTGGTATGGATGGGGGGGACCCCACGCATTTAAAAAAAAAAAATGTAATTGCCAGGCAATGCTTGCAGTTCTTTTTATTTTCAGCTGTCGGTGGGGAACCCTACTGACAGCTGAAACATTAAAGGATGTTTTCACTACTAAAATACTGCATGACTTAATATTATAACTCGTGGTATTTTAGTAGGTATACAGTATCTTACTGCATACTCAGTTGTGGTAAGATATCGTTCAGTAAATTGCCTCTGCTTGAAGTAGCGGTCAAACTTTCATTAGGTTCGAATGTTCGACTGCGAACTGAACAGGGGGGTGTTCGGCCCATCACTTCTGACAGGTTTTTATCTGCTCTAGATAAATCTTCATGTGTACATCCAGAGATTGTCATCAATGCTTGCACTGTGTAAATATATTTTTACATTTTCAAGGAACAATTAAAATAAAAAAATATATGATACTAGACTGCACATTATTTAATAATGTAAGAGAATTACCAGGTCTCATGAAAGTACAATTATAAAAAATTGTAAAGCTTCTTAAATTAATGCAAACATATTTTATAAATGTAATTGTCTATTTTACAATTAGAATGCCAAGCATTTCCTAGCTTGCTATGGAATGGTGTCCTTGTTAAGGTCATATAACTTAGCACTTAAGTTTCTGGAAATACCAACAAAAGCTCATAAAGTGTACTTGTAAAGTTGCCATTAGTACAGAGCTATGGTAATTTATGCCACCCTCCCCCCTGAGTGCACCCCCCGGGTAAATACCCCCTCCCCCTTCCCCCGGGTAAAGTACCCTCTTTCCTATTCTAGGGATTTTCACTGTGTAATCCCATCAGGCTCCACTTAGCCTTTTTTCAGAAAATTAACTTGAACTGCCACATGGCCTTTTCCTTGAAAATTACCTTACCATGGACCTGTCTCTTCTGTTGGAGAAGTACTCCTTTGAACTGTTGGCCACCACAGTGAATACCACTGGCATGAACAGGAAGGTAACTATTTAACTTCTGTATATTAACCCCTTCACCCCCTCTTCCCTCTGTGTGTGACCTATAAAATGATATATCTAGTTCACTATTACCAAGTTCCACGTGTTTAACCCCCTCAATACCAGCTTGCTTCTACATTTGTGAAAATTGTGGTGAAAATCACCTTGGACTGTCTTATTTCTAATAAAGGGTCATTTGGTGGTTTTATTTGCTATGTTTTTAAACAGAAAGTAAGGTAAATAATGGAGTATTACAGGCTGATACAAAGTAGAAATAATGCTCAAACTGTAATTGATGATATAATGGTAACCAAAACCCAACCTGTTATCTGCATGCCTGTTTAATGAATTTGACACTTTTTAAATATTCCAAAAGATTATTATTTCTCATAAATCTCTTTAGAGAGCTATGGTGTGGGGAAGGATGACGCTCTAACCGCTCATGGAATCCTGTATTAAGATGGCCTCAGCCGTCACTCCTGCTATGCCCTCTGACGTGTTTCATCCCGCCCACCAGGGCTTGGTTTCAGAGCTAATTATACTTTTTTTATAATTTAATCCACTAACCTCTAGATAAAACATTAAGTATATTTATCAATGTTTTCACCCAACAATCACACACCTTTCTCTTAACCGCCCTGGAGGTATTCCCGAGTGTAGCTTGGGGTAAAGTTTCAGCACCACAAGCGGTAACCCCGAGCTACACTTGCTCTGGGATCCCTCGATCACTTACCTTGTCCTGCGCTCCTGCGATGTCCCCCCTGCAGCGTCCCCGGCAATGTTCTCTGGCCGATGCCGGCATCTGTCTTCTGGGTTCCAATCCCTGCGAGCGTCAGGACGTACGGGGGACGGAACGGCGGGAAATTTAAAAATGTCAAAAAGTGACATTCACTAAATACACTAAAATCACATAGTAAAACATTACTGTATCAAACCATTTCACATACATTTTGTCCCGAGTACTTTGTCCTGTGCTCTGCCTGCATTTTTACTGTTCTTTCTGCCTTGAAACTGAGAAATGTCCATGGCATCCAAAAAGCGTCCCTTTAGGTCAAAATCGGTTTTAGACCAGCTAGAGAACAGCGATAGTAAATTAGAACCACTTGCAGAATTGAGTGATAATGATTCGTGGGGAAATTCGGCATCAGACACTGAAAGCAATTTTGCGACTTTGCTCAGTGATGTGCGAACTTGGCGCTATATTTCAAATTTCAGTGTTTTTGGTTTGATTATATTATTGAATTCAATTTATTATATTATATTATTATTTTTTATGAGTATTTTTTAAATTATAATTTATGATTTCGTATTTCAAATTTTAACATACCCGGGATGTTTACTAGACTCTTGTTCGGACAGATTTCAGTGAGTTATTCCTAAAAATTACAGGCCTACATTAAAAAAAATACATATATATGCAAAACAATTTACCGCTTTGAGCACAGAAATACTGACATAATCAGACCGCTAGGGAGGCTACGAATAACATATTCTGCACCTAAGATTCAATTAGAAAAATATGTAAATCTTGGTTGAAAATTGTGTGAATAATCGATAAATAGAATTATAAGCCTCAATATTTTTAGACACACACTTTTTCCTAGTTATAGTTTAGGGACTAAAATATATATATTTTTTCAAAATCTACACCCTGTATGAAAGGAGAGAAAAGGAGAGCAGGGAGGTTGTCTTTGAAAGGTGCATGGAACTAAAGAGATTTAGGGGGGAGGGAGGAAAAAAGGCTGAAAGGGCTCTAAGGACTCATTCAGATGTGCAGCTATCATTGCTGCTCCTTTGAAAAGTGTTCCATTGTGGATCAGTTTTCAGAGTGCATTTGACAGGCGGTGAGAAGGTAATATGTCACCTCCTCACCACCTTATTAACTCTAAAAATGCTGACCCATGTGATATGGCCCCATTCACTTGAGTGGGTTTCATTGTGTGGTGGTACCACTAAACAAATGCAGCATGCTGTTGGCAAAACTGTGGCTCAACCACCTGCTTTTACTGCCCACTGCCTGTCCATGTGAATGAGCCCTAGGACCTAGTTTACACTTGTAACACTAAAAAATTGTCATGCTTTTTCTGCCCTTCCTAAGATACCAAAGAAGTTGTTTATTGGGTATACATATGTTGCAGCTACCATGCTTTTCATTAGAGTGTGGCAAAAATGATCCCCAAGTGGTGATTGATGGGCAGTACTACCTACCAAACACGACCCATTGAAGTAGCACCGACCCGTGCACATAATACACACGGTTGCAGCACAGTGGTGTGGAGTTGTAGAGGTTAAAGAAGGTGGTGAGGAGGTGCTATAACCCATCCTCACTCTACCAAAAATATAAACAAGCTGAAAGGAAGAGAGAAGGCTAACAGGTTATTTGGGGTGGGGGGTTTCTGAGGAGGAAGAGGAGAAAAAGGGAGGTCTAGGGTTGGGTTGTGCCCCCTCATCCTCTGTTTACTGACAGTTCAGACCTCCTTCTCAGTGTGGCACATGTCAGAAATGAAGGCAGCTTCTCCTTCTTCCCATCTTGGGTCATGTGGTATGTCTCATAATAAGGGTATACAGAAAAAAGGCAGTCTGCCCTTACTCCCCAATAGAGCTGTTTTGAGACTGAGGTGTGTTCTCAGTGGAAATTGTCTCTTTCCCACCCACTAAATCTCACTAATGATTTACTAACTGCTAAAACTAATGGCCACTACTGCGTACTCTTACTACTTGACCTCTCTGCGACTTTTGATACTGTTGACCATCCCCTCCTCAAAAAAAAAAACTCCACTCTCTTTGCCTCCGAAACTCTGCTTTCTCCTGGTTCTCCTCCTACCTATCACAGCGCTCCTTCAGCGTTACCTATAACTCTGTCTCCTCCTCTCCACTTCCTGTTTCTGTAGGGGTCCATCAAGTTTCTGTCCACCTCACAAGAGCAGCGCAATTCGGCTGCAGGTGGTTGTGGTTGAGGGCAATGATGTGATTCCCGCAACTGCAATGCACAGTGTGAACTACGGCTTAAAGGAAGAATCTATTTGAGACAATGGTTTTTACATTAAATAAAATATGAAAAAGTATACTAGCTAATGTACATAGTAACATGATTCCCCTTTTCTGTAGTTTCTAAATAAGCCAACATGATCTTATTTACATACAAGTAGAGTAGTAAGATGTCTTGTACATTTTTTATGTGTTTAAAGTAACTCATAATTCACATTTTGTTTGTCTACAGTATGTGATTTTCAAATATTCTGCTTCATGTTCAAAACTGAAAAAATAGTGTTCACTTTTGCTTATATATTTATATCTTTTTATCTTTCATGGACATAGTCAATCCCCAAATGTTATTCACTTCTCATATTTCTTTTTCTAAACATTAAACCAAGGCTGTTGCCTCCTGGGTGAGAATTCAATTTTTGACTTCCCCACAGCTAGACATCTGTGCAAAAGGAATGATAGGACCTTTTGCATCCTCAACTTTCCCCAAGGAATATGATGCTCATGTACAGTCTACATTGTTTTTTACGAGCTAGTAGAATAATATATACACTATATTGCCAAAAGTATTGGGACACCCCACCAAATTATTGGTTTCAGCTATTCCAATCACCTCCATTGCCACAGGTGTATAAAATCAAGCACGTAGGCCTACAGACTGCTATTGCAAACATTTGTGAAAGAATGGGTTGCTCTCAGAAGCTCAGTGAATTCAAGCGTGGTACCATGATAGGTTGCCACCTGTGCAATATGTCCATCCGTGAAATTTCATTGCTACTAAATATTCGACAGTCAACTGTTAGTGGTATTATAACAAAGTGGAAGCAACTGGGAACATCAACTCAGCCACGAAGTGGTAGGCCACGTAAAATGACAGAGCGGGTTAAGTGCATGCAAGCACACATTGCGCAGAAGTCACCAACTGTCTGCAAAGGCAATAGATAAGGACCTCCAAACTTCATGTGGCCTTCAGATTAACACAACAACAATGCGTAGAGAGCTTCATGGAATTGGTTTCCAAGGCTGAGTAGCTGCATCCAAGCCTTATATCACCAAGTGCAATGTAAAACATTGGATGCAGTGGTATAAAACTGATGGACTCTAGAGCAATTGAGATGTGTTCTCTGGAGTGACGAGTCATGCTTCTCTGTCTGACAATCCAATGGACGTGTCTGGGTTTAGGGTTGTCAGCAGAATGGTACTTGCCTGACTGCATTGTGCCAAGTGTAAAGTTTAGTGGAGGGGGATTATGGTGTGGGGTTGTTTTTCAGGGGTAGGGCTTGCTCCTTAGTTCCAGTGAAGGGAACTCTTAAGGCATCAGCATACCAAGACATTTTGGACAATTTCATGCTTCCAACTTTATGGGAACAGTTTTGGGATGGCCCTTTTCTGTTACAACATGACTGCGCACCAGTACACAAACAAGGTCCAAAAAGACATGGATGATCATGTTTGGAGTGGAGGAACTTGACTGGCCTGGCCTCAACCCAATAGAACACCTTTGGGATGAATTCGAGCATAGATTGCAAGGAGGGCCTTCTTGTCTGACATCAGTACCTGACCTCAGAAATGCACTTCTGGAAGAATGGTCAAACATATCCATAGACACACTCCTAAACCTTGTGGACAGCCTTCCCAGAAGAATTGAAGCTGTTATAGTTGCAAAGGGTGGGTCAACTTAATATTAATACCTATTAAGACTGGGATGCCATTAAAGTTCATGTGCATGTAAAGACAGGTGTCCCAAAACTTTTGACAATATAGTGTATGTGTGCATGTATGTATATATATATATATATATATATATATATATACTGTATATTGCATACATGTTAAGTAGTACATTTAGTTTAATTAAAATTTCAGTAAATTTCACTGTGGAGTTTAGAAGGTGTTATTGTGTGAATACTTTGCAGAGTTGTTTGGATCAAATAGCTATATTTAATAACTGTACAATTCTGAGGTCCAAAATTAGTGGGAACATAAAGTCATCTAATCATATCCAAAGGTGTTTTATTTCTTTTTTTTTATGGCTTTAAGAAGCTTACTCTTACTAATTTTGTATCTCTGAATACAGGATCGCATCTCTCCAGGTTAAACTAAAGGAAAAACTTTTTTCTTAGCTTTGGATTGCATAGGGAATGGCTAAAATCACTGTTGAGCTTTCTATATTTTTTTCTGTTTGTTTGCATTCTGTGTCCCAGGGGCTAGTTTTTTTTTTTTAAATAATCTCAGAACACAGTAACAATATTTACATTCAGTCCCTGTGACAATAAACACAAGGACAAGTAGACAGAGTGAAACTTTCTATTCAGGACACAGATTGCAATGAATTCCACACAGATATTTTAATCCTTCCCTACACATGACAAAAACAAAAGAATTGCACATTAGATACCCTTTAAACTATGGTAATTGTAGCATGGTTTGCATTGATACAATTGTCTGTTTTTTTCACAACAATTTATCTACATAAATCTGCAATACATTATATACATTCTGTGCATTGTGCAATAATCGCAAAACTATTAAAACTGTGGACTGACTGTGGAAATGTTCTGTCACATTCCAAGATAATAATGAAGAGAATTGTGTGATAGGTTGACAGAATTAATAACCAGTTCCATGCAATTTGGGTTGTCCAACTTATCATGCAGTGAAATATTCTGTACAGCAATATCAGGCAGATAATAATAATATTAATTAGAAAAAAAATGGTATATATATTCACCTTCTGACTTTTCCAACCATTAATATCAGTGACTAATGTTGTTTATGTTGTTGTAATTTATTTTTTCACAGAATATGCGAGTAAGAACAGTTAAAGGACAAGACTATATTTCCAAATTAGGAACTAGATTCTGTGGGAAGATGGAACAGAAGTTTCTGCTAGTTGACTGTGAAAAAGTTATGTATGGCACCTACAGGTAACTTGGCCCACCGTTACTACTGCTTTAAAGAGAA